ATGTAAAATTTTGTGTAATTACATTTTAATTCAAATGTATCAAGTTGGTGTATCATGCTTAATGAGACGACCAATATATATAAACAAAATCAACTCATATTTTAAAAATTTTAAATTAATAATCTTCAAATTTGTATTTAAATACTATTAGAAGAAAATGGATTTTGGGTTTTTAATTAATGCTTAATCTCTAAAAATCTAAATATGTAACTAAATTTAATTATTATTATATCAACAATTAAATTTTTCAGAGATAGAATTTGTTAAGTTATAAACTCTAAAGATCAAAACTTGGTTTTCTTTTGAAAATACTCTTAACAAGAAAAACACATTGTAATATACTGTAAATTTGGGTATACCATGGTTTACTGTCAATGCACATGGTTATTTGGCATACTTGTTTTGAAATTAGCAATTCATTCTTTAATTTCGTAATCATCTATATGATTACAAAATTTTAAAATCACTGAAATCTCATTAATATCTGGTTTAGCATTATTGCGTCACACGATTACTTGTTAATCAGATCATTATGCCTATTACGACCTTTACACCCATTATAACCATTACAATCATTACACCTATTACAACTATTACACCTATTACGGCAAAAAATTACAACTTCGTGAATAAAGGTTGCAACCTTCCAACTCTAGTAAACCTATTACGGCAGGCAACCTTAGAGATGTCTATTCTATTTTAATAGCAATTTTCAATGCTTAACCTTCCATTGGAATTTCTACCTTTTGCAGACTTCAAGTAGCATTCAAATGCCTTTTTTTTTTTCATCTTTAGAAACGCCTATGCCATTTTTATAACAATATCCAATATTGAATTGTTCGTTTGAGTCATCATTACACTTTTCATTAACATTGTAAACTGAAGTTGATCCATATTTCCGTTTTTTAGTCGGGTTTAATTCTCTATCAAATACTATCAACTAATTGTAATGAGTTTGACAAAGTTGATCGTCTAAACTAAGTTCTATTCTTGAATTTGAAATAGCAGAGCTTCGCATAGCCTTAGACAGAAGATCTGGCGTTAATATGCGAAACACTTCTTTTAGATCTGTGCCACATACTACACATGGACCTGCATTTTTACGTGGTTTACCTATTAACAATGTTACTAGTAAAGGTTCTGAAGTTTATATGATCAGAATCAGATCAAGGAAGCTAAAGTCTTGTTGAACATATACGTGAAATATCAAACTACGTTCTATTTTAAAAAAAGGAGCTATAATACTTTGGCGAAACCCCAACGTACTAAGTAAATTAGGTAAATTAGCCAATCAGCGTAAGTTTAGCAATAATCAGATGATTTAATTTGGAGCCCATATGTAAGAAAAGGGTTAGCTTTTCGGAACACCAATCAGTTTTACCTACCCATAGCAATTTTTTAATAATGATATATTAACACGTATATATGATATCATATACGGAAAATTTCCGACTGTCTAAACATAGGTCACTCAATTTATTTTTATCCACCAAAGATCAAAATTTCCAAATTTATTACATAACAGCTCTCTTAGAGGCACAGTATCTAAGAGTACAGCGTTACCTCAACTTTGAGTTTGCAATTCGACGAAAAGCAATTATTATGTTCGCATAGGTATGGTATCAACTAGAGATACGATCCATTGTCCGTTTTTCTATTAAAATTTAAAGGATATCCAATAATTTTAAAAACGATAAAACTGGCGGATATCCAGATCGCATATTCACGTGAAAGATTTATTTTCAACTAATAAAGTTTTTTTTTTCATTGGAATTCTTTGCCAAATAAGTAAGTCATTTCGGTGGCACATGGAATGAATGGAATGAAATGATGGGTGTTATTTTTCCTTGTTCGTACGCAAAGTATGCATGTGTCATTTTTTTCCAATACAGCAATACAGCAATATGTACATTATTGATTCGAAAAACAAATGTTGATCATTGAAATTTGCTTGAATTTCTTGTTAAGCCCGGTATAGTATATTAAATCGTTGACATTAATTTGTTTGAGATCTTTAATACAGTATTTTAAAATTTTCATATCAGATATATGATAAAAACAATTTAATATTGTTTGGCGGTTTCTAAAAATAGTAATGATATGTCGTCATCAGAATACGCGGGAACATTTACATTACAACCAATTATTTTTATAAATAGTGATGTACTACGTATTGGTTATCAATTTTTGATTCCCTTTCTGTTTCACTTGTTCAAAATTATTATTAATTACTATAACCTTATGTCGCTTAAGCACGCTTTTAAAATAGAGAGTATGACAAATATTAAAGAAGATTTATCAATTTTTTCATCTCAAAAACAAACTGATGAACTCACTTACGTATGGAAAATAAAAGATTTTCAAGATCTTTATCGAAGTATGAGCAAAGGAAAATATATCATGAGCGATAGATTTAGTTCTCCAAAACCGGTTTACATTGAACCAAGGACTGGTCTCAAAAAACCAATACATACATGGCGTTTAAAATTCTATCCTCATGGAAAAAATTCTGTTGGTGAATGTTTATCAATCTATCTTAAAGCATTTCCTTCAGAATATGAAAAGTCTGTGTCAACATTATCAAGATTGATTAGATATCGAATCGATTTATTTCGAATTAATTCGATTGATTCATCAGCGCTTGAACGAATATCAAAACTTGGAAGCGCTGTTTCAAAAGAAACCTTATTTAATCTTTCAACATGTGATTCTCACGGTAGGAGAAACATTTGTGGAATTAAGGATATTTTTAATGAAACGAACACAACTACTACTCCAACTGAATTAGTAATTACTGCTCATATATTTTATGATGATCAAATGGTCACTCAATCCTCTCAACCATTTTTAACTTCATTTGAAAATTATTTTGGAAATGATCTTTATAACGATATTGAATTTGAATTTGACTGTGGTAGAAAAATTCGTGCTGGTCGCTTAGTATTAGCTTCTAGATCTGAATATTTTGAAAAATTATTTGGAGGAGAGTGGCAAGAATCAACCGCTTCCTCAATTCTGTTAAAAAATACAAAATTTGAATCTTTTCATGCCGTGCTGTATTATCTTTATACTGATAGATTAGAAGAAGATTTATCTTTGGAAATTCTGAAAAATCTTTATTTGGAGGCTGATATGCGTAGAATTGAAAAGTTACAACAAATGGTGGTCAAGAGGCTTTCGGAAATTTTGAATATTACGAATATGGATGAAATTTTAACATATAGTTTAGAGATTGAAAATGAATTTTTAAAAAAGACTGTATTGCAATTTCTTAAGAATAATTGGGATGACGTTAAACATACTGATCAAATGAGAAAAATGTTGAAATTAGAAAACATTGATTGGGTAGGCTGGATTGATGAATTACTGACTGCGAAATTGTTTTGTGGCTTGTAATTAGTGATAATTAAGATATCATTTGAAGATAATCTTTTTAACTCGTCAGCCGCTTTTTCAAAACCTACTAGCCGATTTTTATTATTGTATATCCTTTTAATATTACTTCTAATGCAAAGAAACTGGTTCAAATTGAAACACGGAATTCTTGCAATATAAATTTGTAAATTATTTGGTTTATCTCTGATTAATAATGAACGAAATTAGTGTTTATTTTTTAAATATTAAACATAAAGTCCGACATTTTATCCAAAAGTCCTGCAAAAAAATGTTGACTAAACGAAATCTGTTTTTTATTTTCTACGTATTTATCAAAGTGTAATTAAACTAATTTCTGAATTCGAAATTCGATAAGCTACAAGTGCTGTATCTTTTACATTATTTTAGAATAAGTCTTGTTTAAATACAGTATTAGAAATTATAGGCCGTATCATTACTTCTGATACATCACATTTTTTAAAATAAATTAAAAAGTTTATTAATAATATTAAATCTA